AGAAATTTGTATCAATGCGCACCTGAAACTAACGGCCGTTGGCAAGGGCGGAGGGACATAGGGACCAGGTGGGCACATGCACACCTTGAAAAAAAAATAAAAAAATTTACCTTTGTATATTTATGATTTTTTATTGGGTAGTTGGAATTAGGCCAACCCTCATGACCAAAAACCAAAATTATTAAATCCACTTTAATAAGTTTGAACCAACTAAATTTTTTGCAAAAAAAACAATTGAGCATATTTTTCGCTCAAAGAAATATTAAAATATGTTAAAAAGTTGCGACTAGTGATTGAGCCTATTTTTTTTATTTTTTTGATAACTCTGAATCTTATAAAATTCATAATTGTTTAAAATTGCTATAATTTTTTAAAATTGATGCAAACTTAGCCTGAAATTGATTATTATTAACTTAATTATTTATATAGAGAAAGACATTTTTCGATAACATTATTAATAACGTTATCAATTGTCTGGGTCCATTATACATGGCTATAATTAGCCTAATTTTTTGTAAAGCGTTGTAATTAGCCTATTTTTATTGAGTATTGTTTGCATTGATTACGTATATTGATGTTTGACCTTTTTATATTTAATGAATCTATAAATATGCAACATGATGTAAAAAAAAAAGAAACATATACCACAATACTTTTATTGATTAGAAAAAAAATTAAATTTTATTGGTTAAGTGTGCCCACCCAAAAATACATTTCTGGCTTCGCCCATGGCCGTCGGTGTGCTGTCTAGAACTAAATGAATAATCTATACCTAGACTCCTCTTATTTAAAATATTACACATACATCCCTTAAAAATTCAAATATGACTAAAAATATCCCCCCAATTAGGCATTCAAATAATCCTATTCAAGTGTTGTATTGCATTAGATATCAAAAATATTATATAAATACTTGCATTATATTGAACATTCAAATGATAAATTTAATTTTGAACTTTAGAGTATAACGGGCCGACAAAATAAAAGTTAGTATGAAAATTATATTTTTTTATTAAGATAAAATCATGTTTTTTAACTGTTCTATTAACATATATCAATGGGAAGTGGTTATATGTTACACGTGTACAAATATCAAGAGGTGTAGGAGTAATATTTTAAATATGAGGGATCAAAATGATTAAGTGACAAACTTGAGAGGGTCTAGGTATAATTTATCCAACTAATTTTTAGTCAGCAAACTAACGGGACTGTTAGTTTCAAGTGCGTACTGATAAAAATTATATTTTTGAGGATACAAATTAAAATTTTTAATTTTTGAGGGTACAAATTAAAATTCGAACAATCTTTTAGAGTGTAATTTACAATTAGCCCTATAAATATCTATCTTTTTTTTTTTTTGCCCTTTTCTGAAGGAAAAAAAGAAAAGAAAAGAAAAAATATGTTCAGACTTCAGATAGCGCTATAATGCATAGAAGCCTCTCAAAGAAAAATTATCACCAATGTTATTGATTTTGGGTAGATAATTTTCTTAGTAATAATCATTCGGCCTAGCCCAGTTGCACTCCCAAATCAGAACTCACAGGTTCAAGTCTCGTCAAAAGTTGGATTTCTTCCCATACCTCTCTTTTGGTGCATTCTCTTTTTTGTTTGTTGTTTCAAACGGTTAAGAATGTTGAGTCAACTTATGTGTAATTCAACTAATCTGCTATCAAGTTTTGTCAAAGGTAAAACATCCATGCATGAAACTAGAAAATTCATAAGGAATTTATCCTTCATAATCTGATTCTAAAGAATTATCAAGATTTAAATTTAAGACATTTAAGTTTCTAACTCTTCTCTTTTATCACTTAAACAACCCAGATAATTAGTGCATTCTCTTTTGTCTCATCAAAAGTCGGGTTCTCTGTTAAAACAATTTATGTGCTCCTCATCCACTCTATGAGGTAGGACTAATTAAAATTGATTATAATGTTGTTACATCTACACCCATATTGATTGAGAATATATTGTGCACTTCAAAAAAGTTGTTTACTAATGACATCAATTGGAGTTGGTGCACAATATAGGGGGTACAATACAAAGTTTCATCAATCAAAACTATGTTAAACATAAGTTTTTTAAAGAGTTCTTTAGAAATCGATACATCTAATTAGACTTATTTGATAAAAAGTACATAAAACAAAATATAAGTTAAAAAGACATAAATACCCATTTTAGGGTCATTTAATTCAAAATCTCTTATTTTTAATGCACTTTAATTCATGTGTGTTTATTAATATATATAAATACGTATTTAATGCACTTTTAATTCATGTGTATTTGTTAATACATGTAAATATATATATATATATATATATATATATATATATATATATATATATATATATATATATATATATATATATATATATATATATATTGTTAAATCTCTTATTTTAATTTTGAATTATCTTTAATGCACCTTGATTCAAGCGTTTTTTTTTTAAATAGTTTTATTTTTAAATTAATTTAATATTCGAATAATGTAATAGTATAACAATAATAGTGTAATAATAACAGTGTAACAAATACACTGTAACAAAAACAGTGTTCAGTAGTTTTGTGTATATAGTAACAAATTCAAAATGGAGATGGACTATTTTGAATGAAATTATCTGAAACTATATATTTGATAAAATGTAATAGTACAATATTTTGTGTAAATAGTTTGTTACACTATTATTGTTATACTGTTACATTGTTAGTGTTAAACTGTTACACTTTTATTGTTACACTGTTACACTTTATATTATTACATTGTTATTGTTACACTATTATACTATTCGGATATTAAATTAATTTGAAAATAAAACTACTTTCTAAAAAAAATGTATAAATCAAGGTGCATTAAAAAATAATTTATCACCCTCTCTAAAAAAACTTATTTGATTGTCGGAGGAGATATGCCGGAGAGCACTCCAACACCCTTCTAACTTGTTTTTCTGTGTCACAGGGTCCCCCCATAGTCTTCCAGGACTGGTCAGGTGACCTAACAAACAATTCATCACCAGTCCTTAGGGCCCCTTTGTCCCTCTCAACCTAATCCTTGTTGCCAAAACCCACTTTCGAATGGATCAAATCTCTGTCAGGGGTGATCAAAAATTCTGAAAGCAAACCTTCTGTTCCGTCGGAATTACTATATTGTCGAACCACGGTTCATCGTGGAGAGAGATCTATTCTTATTTCTACTATTATGCAAAAATCAGCATGCACAAAAATATTCAAAAAGTGATACCTTAAAAAGTAATAAATGAGAGAATAAGAAAGTAAGTCCACTTTAATGCTTTGTTTGGTACGGTGAAAAAATGAAAGGATGAAAAATTGAAATGATAAATAAAATATCATGTTTGGAAAGGAAGGAAAGTAGGAAGAATGAAAAAATGGATGAATTAACTTTCATTCCAACTCACGAAAATCAATCCTTCCAAAATCAGACGAAAAGTGAATGAAAAGTTAATTATTTGTACTGAGATGTATCTTATTTGTCAATATATCTTTTTATTTATACATATATTATGTATATATTAATTTCATATATAAAAAAACAATGATAAAATGTGTATTTATATTTTTAAAAATAAATTTTAAAATTAAAAATTAAAAATTAAAAAAATTAAAATTTTAAATTAAAAAAATATTTTCCCATTTTAATTAGTGGTGAAAATTTTTAACTAACACACTGACACGACTCGAAATCGACACGAACTTAATTGACTCGAACTCGACACGAACTTGATTAACTCGAATACGAACACGATACGAAAATAAACATGTCAACTCGTAACTCAACACGACACAATTAGTTAAATGAGTTGAGTTAGGTGTGACTAATTTTCGACACAAACCTGTAATGACTCAACACGAATCTGATACGATACCATTCGATTGTCACCTCTAATTTAAGTCCAAAAAAAAATAGTCATTTTTATTTTTTATCCATCCAACAAAACACAAAGGAAGTAAAATGTATCATTCATACTTTTCTTCTTTGAAGGATAGAAAATGTATGTCTCTTACTTTTTCATCTTTCCTACCAAACGGAACATAAAAATTAATAAATTTCACCCAAAAAAAAAATATAACTGTTACTGTACTAAAAAAAATTTCTTACCCTGGTCAAATCCGGAAAGTGATGGATGGGAGTGGTAAGTTGTATTTGGGTTTAGAAGTGCAATAGTATAATCACAGTTAACACTATTATACCACGATATTGTCGTATCATTAAAATAACAAATTAAATTAATTTTTTAAGTCTCGATATTACTCAAGTTGTATATGGGGTACGAGGCATAATCTTATAGAAGTCTCCAGCACTCAATAACTCAATATGTGTTGTTTTTTCAAAGTTAAATGCGGGTAATAATGTTGCCCATGAAGCTCCTTAACTTTTTTTGGGTGATAACTGATAAGATATTGGTATTGTTTTAGGCATAATCTTACCAAAAAATGGTCTAGTGCGGTACATTAGGCTCCTACTACTGCTAAAACTATGAAAGGTTACAATTTTTATTTCCACTACTCAAATTCTTAATACTTTAGTTATAATGAAATATCATTATCATTGTGTGAACATGCCAAGACAACTTTGTCGGTGATAGGTTCGTGATATTTGTAATAGTAAATAGATTATGTAAGTCCCACACTATTTTTTAATTTCGTTCTCAATTTTAAGCCTTATTTAGTATTTTGAATGTTCATTTTCGCACAAAGTAATCAAACAATAAACAAACTTATATAACTTAGCTTAACCCTATAAATATGTGATTAAAGTCTCGTATAGTAGATTATTTTTTTATAATGGTGGATGTTGGAGTCATTGTTAGTCCATCAAGCAAGTTAATGAGATCCTTACCCATCTTTACTCCATTGTATATTTGTATCCGAACAATTATGTACACAGTCAGGGATATTTTTGTCATTTCAACCAAAACAATGAATTATCAACCTAAGCCAGTTTGTCTTTTTAGCCATACATCTCTCTCTCTCTCTCTCTCTCTCTTCCACTGCCAAACCTCCACTGTTTCTTCTTCAGCCACTTTCACACACACTAGACAATGATCTTCCACAAGATTGCTCTCGTTAGCCTCATTCTAATTACAGTCCTCCTCTGTACTGAGTCGACTCAGCCCCCATTCTCATGCAACTCATCAAACCCATCAACCAAGTCGTACCCATTTTGCCAAACTTCACTACCCATCCGCAAACGGGTCCAGGACCTAGTCTCTCGCCTGACACTCGATGAAAAAGTCTCCCAACTCGTTAATACAGCACCCGCCATTCCCCGACTCAGCATCCCCGCCTACGAGTGGTGGTCCGAAGCTTTACACGGCGTTTCCAACGCCGGATACGGCATTGAATTCACTGGCCGGATTGGCTCCGCCACCAGCTTCCCCCAAGTCATCCTTACCGCCGCCAGCTTCGATGCCCATCTATGGTACCGCATCGGTCAGGTAAGTCATTAATAGCCGATTCTTAAATATTCTGCATACATGTCTGTGTGTACGTACAATGGCATCTAATGCCACATGAAATTAATATGGATTTCACGCTTTTAATTCGGATTCAGATGATAAACAAGTAAGTACACTAATCACTCCCCTGAAAAAAAGTACGTTATGAACCTAGTTAAACTTGCTGACATCACAACATGAATAGACTATACACGATTCTAAATGAATCACATATAGATTAGGTAATTCAGAAATTATGGCAGAACACAATACATTGAGTGTGCCATTTGTATATGTTAATGTATCTGACTAGATGATTGTGAATATGAGTAGGTGATCGGAAAGGAGGCTAGAGCAGTGTACAATGAAGGGCAAGCAATGGGGATGACATTTTGGGCACCAAATATAAATATTTTCAGGGACCCAAGGTGGGGGAGAGGGCAAGAGACACCAGGGGAAGACCCAATGGTCACTGGGAAGTACGCAGTGTCATATGTTAGAGGGATACAAGGGGATAGTTTTGAGGGTGGGAAGCTCAAGAATGGGCACCTTCAGGCCTCTGCTTGTTGTAAGCACTTCACTGCCTATGATTTGGACAACTGGAAGGGTGTTAATCGTTTTGGCTTTGATGCTCAGGTGAGTCTCTTTCTCTCTCTCTCTCTCTCTCTCTCTCTCTGTAACCAATGTTGCTGCTAAGAAGTTAGAAAAAAAACGTGTTTTTGTTGGTTTGGTCTTTTGATGATTTCTAGGGTTTCAAAACATGGTTGAAAGGTTCCTTCTGTGGTGCTAAGGTACTACTTAGTAGAGCCTAATCAATCTAGTGGTTGTTTAATAAAGTTGAGATTAATAGAGATTTATGCGATTGGGTTTTGGTATTCTGTAAGCTCAGGATTAAAAAAAAAGAAAAAAAATACACAACCCTTCTTTTGAGGCCAAAGGAGATTCCTTTCAGTATTTATATTAAACACTTTTGAATAATGTTTATTTTTGTATGTTATCATTCAGGTGACAAAGCAGGACTTGGCAGATACATATCAACCACCATTCCAAAGCTGCATACAAGAAGGGAGAGCTAGTGGAATAATGTGTGCTTATAACCGCGTTAATGGGGTCCCAAACTGTGCTGATTACAATCTCTTAACCAAAACAGCCCGTGTACAATGGGATTTTCATGGGTAATTATATGAATTTTTTTTCATAAATACTGTTTCGTAGGACTTTTTTCCAAAAATTTTTACATTCAATTATCCGATTGTCCCTACTTGGGTTATAAGCCTCGCCTCGTGTTCACGTTTGAGGGAAAGAGTGGTATCTCCTTCAATATATATATATATGTATATTTTTTTTGTGAATTGAAATAGGACTCCATGTCGGTAAGTGGAAAAAAAAAATTAAAAAAATAATAGAGGGATTATGAATTAGACAACATTGGCTGATTTGATTTGGCAATAATCAGGTACATCACGTCGGACTGTGATGCGGTCTCCATCATGCACGATGATCAAGGATATGCCAAACTACCGGAAGATGCAGTCGCTGATGTACTTAAAGCAGGTAGTGGGCCCATTTTCTGATCTATTTTTAAAGCATCTAAGAGAGACCGTCGTCCTTTAGGAGCTGCACACAGTCTTCTCCTACAGAGAAAGTCTACAAATATGTGATTTGTTTTATTTTAATTTATAATATTTTAATTATATTATTTTGATTTTTGAAATATTAAATATATTTTCATAAAATACTTTAAGCAGACAACGTCCAGATAACTAATAATTTTTTATCATAAACTTATCACGTAATATCTAAATATAAAACAAAAAATAATTTTAATAACTTTTAAACAAAATTTGCGTAACTCTTAGCAAAAAATGTATAATATGTGTAACTTTGACCAAAATTTGAATAGCTCATGATAAAAAATATGTAATTTAAGTATTTATTTAATCAAAATTTGAGTAAAAATTTGATCAAAAATTATCTAAATTATTTTTTTATTCATATTAAAGTATCATGTGACAAGTTTATGATAAAAAATCGTTAACAACCTAGATGTTGTATGTTTAATGGACCATATAGAAACATATTCAATAATTCATGGACTAAAATAATGAAATTAAAATATTAAAAATCAAAATGAAACAAAATTTTATATTTTGAGGACCTCCAGTGAACCCAATTTTTTTATAATAAATTATACCTTTAAAAATAAAAATTACAACTGACCAAGTGAAAACTATGATCGATCATTCTCTTTTATGAATCATAACTAAACTTTTAAAAATTATAATTTTCCACAGGATATCATAAACTTTTCCTCTCTTATGTATAATCTTCAATGCATGTGCTCTGGAATTATTGAACTATAAGATAGCTGGGCCCCGCAAGTGAAAAAGACCCATCGACGGGGACTAGGACGGGGACAGGGACACTCCAATTGGCCCACCTGGCTGGTCCTTTTGATGGACCTCTGTCTTGGATGTTGCATGCACATTTCTATCAATGCCACAATGGCCTAGTTTTCTTTTCTAATTAGTCGGGGTGTTAATATTGATATCAATTAAAAATATTTCAATTTTATCATAACTTATATAATACTATGTAAAGAATTTTTTTTAAATGTAAAATATTTTTTTTTACTTGATATTTGTGTCTAATATTAAATTTAATTTATTTATTTGTCATTTTTAAATTTTTTATCGTGTCGAGTTTATGTTAATGGACAAAGTTGACATCCCTAATATATATAGTAGATTGAACTATAAACCTTAATTACCATATATTTCTTTTTTTCATCTAAAATAATATGATTCATTCAAAAAAAAAATTATTAACTTATTTTATTTTATTATACTCACAACAATTAGTTACAGTAAATCAAGCCAATATCTTAAAATATGGTCTCAAAGCTATAAAGGTCGAGTATAAATCGTTTTATGCCAAGTAGTAGTTCTTAGACTCAAATCAAAATTTTACGATTGTGTACGAGTTCGAATCTCATCGTCTCCTCGCTGTAATAATGTCTGACCCAAAAAAACAAAGTACTTGAGAAATATAATAAAAAGAGGTGCTCGTAGGGCAATTAAGAAAAAGAAAGGTAGGGTCAGTGACTCAGTAGGCTAGAGCCTTGACAAAAGAAAAAAGACATCAAGTCTTTTTGAGTAGTTATGACTTGTATCATATCACGCTTTCGACTACATCGAAGTGAGGTAAACCTAGTCTGTCGGTAATGGGAGAAACAGGTTTTAAGGAACCAAGTCACAAAATTGAAGCTCAAAGATGAATATGGTCCTAGAGAAGAGGAACAGTTCCCCAATGCAATATCATTAAAAGAATACTCACATACGTTCACTTGTAGATGATATAAAAGAGATTGAAATACACAAAATTATTCAATTATGTGCATTTAGAGACAAAACATATATGTACAGGCATGGACGTCAACTGTGGTTCCTACTTGAAGAATTACACCAAATCAGCAGTTCAGCAGAATAAACTGCCTGAAGCTTCAATAGACAGAGCCCTTCACAACCTCTTCACTGTTAGAATGAGGTTAGGACTGTTCAATGGCGACCCAACCAAACAACTTTTCAGCACCATTGGTGCGGACCAGGTCTGCACACAAGAGCACCAGGACCTAGCCCTTGAAGCTGCAAGAAATGGCATTGTCCTTCTCAAGAACTCTGCCAGGCTCCTCCCTCTTTCAAAGACCAAAACCATGTCACTTGCTGTAATCGGCCCCAATGCCGATGCCGCACAAACATTGCTCGGAAACTATGCAGGTCCTCCATGCAAATCCACTACACCACTCCAAGCACTGCAGGAATATGTGAAAAACACCAAGTATAACCAAGGTTGCAATGCAGTCAGCTGTACCTCTGTTTCAATCAATGAAGCAGTGAGCATAGCGAAAGAGGCAGATTTTGTGGTTCTGGTTATGGGATTGGATCAAAGTCAAGAGAGGGAGTCTCATGATCGTGAGGACTTGGTGCTTCCGGGGAAGCAGCAGAGTCTCATCACTAGTGTTGCCAAAACCACGAAGAAGCCAATTGTACTGGTGCTGTTTTGTGGAGGTCCAGTTGATATTTCCTTTGCAAAACATGACCCCAAAATAGGAAGCATCTTGTGGGCTGGTTATCCAGGGGAAGCTGGAGGACTTGCACTTGCACAAATCATCTTTGGAGACCACAACCCAGGTAAATCTTACCTCTTTATCTATAACCAATCTAAAATACTAAAGCATCAAACAGTACACATAAAGATTCCATCACATTGTCATGCAGGTGGAAAATTGCCAATCACTTGGTATCCAAAAGATTTCATCAAAATTCCAATGACAGACATGAGGATGAGACCTGAACCATCCAAAGGCTATCCCGGGCGCACTTACCGATTCTACAAGGGCCAAAAAGTTTTTGAATTTGGCTATGGTCTTAGCTACTCGGCCTATTCTTATGACTTCGTCTCTGTTACCAAAGACAACCTCTACCTGAATCAATTATCAACCAGTCCAGTAATTGAGAGCTCAGAGTCAGTGTGGTACATCTCAGTGTCAGAAATGGGGAGAGAGTCCTGTGAGAAGGCGAAGTTCTCAGCTATTGTAGGAGTCAAAAATCAGGGGGACATGGCTGGTAAGCACCCGGTCCTACTGTTTGTTAGGCAGGCAAAGCTTACAAGTGGGAGTCCAATGAAACAGCTGGTCGGATTCCAAAGTGTGAGCTTGAATACAGGGGAAAGAGCTGAAATTGAATTTGTTCTGAGCCCTTGTGAGCACCTTAGTAGAGCCAATGAACATGGTTTGATGGTGATTGAAGAGGGTACACATTCTTTGGTTGTGGGCAACAAAGAATACACCATAAGCATTGCAGTTTGATATCGACTATCAAATCTTCACTTAAAAGCCAATGATAACTGTTCAAGAACTACAGACTATGTTTTAGCTTTCATTATGCATTGCAAATCACAGATCGCAACAGCAATTTAAGCTATATTCATTGCTTTTACTTACACATTGAGCATATTCTATTTTCACTTTTCTATAATCCTGAAGTTGAACCCAAGCACAGCAATGTCAAGACACATATCAGTTCTCCCAGAAAACAAACCCTCAAATTTACAGGAAGATTGTGCACAGGCCTTTTACCATTGTTGCAATCACATTTGAAATGGCAATGAATTTAGTTCTTTTTACATGTTACATGACAATTTTGTATTCAATAAGGTCAAGTAAACTTTTCCTGGTGCTGGACTGATTTTTGTTATAAAGTATAAATCTTTGTTGTCCATTACCCTGCATGATTCCTTTGTATATTATGGTCAGACACACCTTAAATCTTCACCTTTCATCAAGATCTTGATACTGAACACACCATCCATTTCCTAGAAGGTGAAAAATAATTATTCAAAAACCTCGTGGCTCTAGAGTTAAACGTCTAACGTATTATTTTTTCCAAGAAAAAAGAAGTTGCATACACTTTTACCAACACAAACAATGATATATCCACCCCTTATAACAAAGTCTATCATCTTTTAGACAAAGTAATTATACACTTAATGAGATCATAGCTCATACTAAAGACATTGCTTGAGATTTAATATGACTTGCTTCTTTGGTAATAAATTGCACTGTGTATTTGTAAACATCTATATAATCATTTATAATTGCATGTTTGTATACATATATTTTCATAATTAACAATGTAATAGAATTTTCGTTGTAAATTCGCAGAGAACCCAATTGATTCCTCAAGGTACGATAAATCAAATATTAGATATCCTAAAACTAAAAGATATAATTACTTAATACTTGACTTCAGTTCTATTTTTGGTCATTGTCATTGAATTTTGTTTTCCCTAATGGTTAATTAAATTTGTTCCCCAATACATGGGACAGTTTGACTTTGTATGCTCCTATTTTAACTTTTGTTTTTTCACTTACCTTGTTTTTCTTTCTTTTTTTGGGTATTGAGAAACCCTTGTTTTTCAAAAATGTAACAGTAAGCTTAATCATTTGCATTCAATGAAAAAAAACAAATTAACACACACTAGAGTCGAAACATGATGCTGAGGACTGGGGAAATCCCTTACCATTACCTTCCCTTACATGTTAAAAGTGGTTTGTTTACTAAAATCATAGTTGATGTAAACAAAACCAGAAAAGAAACATAAGTAATTACTACTTGAGATTCCCTAGCAAGAGTGCAATGGCTGACAGTTACCGCTCTTCCATTCCTTTTGAAAGAGGCAACAACAAAACCAGGGTCATTCCTGGCATCCCAAGACATAGCAGGAACAGTGATCTCACGGGTACCGTCTGAATGAGTGTGATCATAAAATCTATGGGTGTGGGCACTGAAAACAATTCTGCAGGCAAAGGAACAAGGGATCATCAGGTTATGTAAGGAGTAATAGCTCCATAATTCTATCCACCAAGCCAAATTGCAGCCTTAGACAGAGTTATATATAAAATTAAATCAAAGCACATTACGTTACATTGATGGTTGCACTTCTTCTACCCGAAAGAGTCCAACAAAGAGGAATTTTCACAGACCACAATAAATGGCACTGTTCATTTTCCATCATGTACTATCATGACTAATATTTCAAAAAATTCCATCTTGTTTAAAAGTTGAAGGATAGAGAACACTTTGTGAAACCCCGTAGTGACAATATATGGCTCAAAAGGTCCACGTACTTCCAATCTACTTCAGCACCGAGGCAAAACTGACAGTCATACACCCATTATAAAAGTGGCTTGAATAGCATAACATAATGAATTATACAGCATTTCAGTAGTTGAGAAAGTTTTGATTCATTTTCTAGCTCAAATTGGTAGCAAATTACGGTTGCTTCCTAGAACTGAAATTTGAAGTTCTCTGTTGAGGAAAGATGGGTTTCTTTGCCAAGAGAGGGAAAAAAGAAACAGAAAATTACTATTTCTCCTCTCTTTGGCTTTTGCTTCTCACGTCACATGAGAAGAGAGGAACTGAAACCCACCTTTACATTTTCTTCTTTATTTTCCTCCATTTTTTCTTCCCTTCTGTTCTCTTCCCTCCCCTTAGACCAAAAATATCTAAGAACCACTCCACGGCAAAGAGGAAACCTCTCAGTGGATTGAACATATACGAATTCAGAGAACATGATATGCAAGTCCCCAAAAAAAAGGTGCAAGTCGGCCAAATATATATTGCAGATTTAAGTCTACAGATTTACCTTGGCCTAAGGGCTTGAAAGATGTATTCTGTGGCATTTGGTGGGAGAGTGTGTGATAACTCATATGGCCCCGTTTCAACAAGCCTCCTGAAGGAAAAGATGGAAGTAATTTATAGTCAGGCACTTTTGACAGCATCGTCATCCATGTAAGTTGAACTTAAAGATCCAAAATGCGAATAATAGGGTGTATGCAAAACATTTCCGTTACCTGTGCTTCGATGTTTTTGCATTCTCATGTAAACATGTAGATGTTCCCTCATAGGCGTTGCCTCCCAAACAGTTGTTGCTTGCAATCTGGTGCAATGGAAAGTGAAGTAAGACGACAGGACCAGAACCAGAAGTAATGGCATTCTCTCGCCACCCAACGTCAACGGAAGGTAACCCAACTTTGCTAGACTCATTTATCATTTCTTTTGTGTGCTCAACGTCCATTTGCAATTCTATGCTTTCTCTCTCCACTATTTTTTCAACACTAAAACGTAGTGCATTGTTGCTGCAAGCCAATGCAACGGCATTGAGTGAGACAAAGCTAATGTTGCTGATTTCAAAGGCACCAGTACCAGCTGAATCCAATCCTGGGAAATTGCTCGCTATCCAACTAACAGATTCTGCATTTAGCCCACTGCAATCCCCGATGTCCCTATCCCCAAGGGTAACATGAAAAGGTAGGCTAAGAAATGGGCCCATCAACTCATGAAACTGCTGAACCACAGATGACCACTTACTTCTACTCAAATCTGCTCCTCTGGCAGAAACATCTCCTAATACAAGCAGCATATCAGGCCTCAAGATTTCAAATGATTTCTGGGTCAAATATTTAGTAGATGTGAAATGATCAGTTTAGGATGTTCCAACTAAGGAATAGTGCAAGCACAGAGTCACGGACAAAGCATTGATATTAAAGTAGGACATAATATGAAGAAATACAGATTCTCCTTGTTAGAGCATCATCTAATTTCTTTTTCGTTTAGGGGTTGGTATTTGCACATATAGGATGGTAGTACATCAAGTTGCTCCTTTTTGGTCTTCCTTTCCTTCTATGTCAGCAAGATCACTCTGCCATACTCACACCAATCTAACATCCAGTTCGGCCTGCCTCACCCAAAAACAACATTGTGATCATATTTTTAAACATTCCTTACCCATTTTCCAATCCCAACTCACCCACTATTAAACTAACCAACAATATCATCACTAGTCTTACAGATTGACTTTGTTCAATGGCATTTAATCAGTAACAAATTCATGTGTCTCTGCTGAGTTATTAGGATTTCGGGCTTTACTTTTTTATTAGTTTTGACTGTTGTTGCTTGGTTTTAGCTCAATTTGTCCCCAAATTCCAGCTTTAATAGTGACTCTTTTACTTAACTTTAAAAAAATATGTCAACCCAGATATACTTATCCAAAAATCTAGTAAAGAAAAATGGCTTCTTGTTAATCTAACTTTTGTGCTTTTTACAGCAGAAAGGAAATAACTTTTGTGTAATGGTGAGATTACTTCCTCTTTGATCATATTTTACCATCTTTTAAATTTGAGTATGTCCTAATTTAAATTGGATTCTCTTTATCCAAATCAAACTTTTTACCCGTTTTTTCACTCAAATTTGAGTAAAGGTTTGGGCTTTCCTTAAAGATGTCTAAATAGACCCTTTTTTTGGTATTCACACAATCGATAGAGTACCCTATTCATGAACTTAATTTTTTTTTTTTCATGAACTTAAATTCAAGATAAAACAAATCCCAAAACTGCTTGGAAAATTATGAGCATATTACATTATTACTTGAATACGAAAAGAAATAGCATACCCTAAAGAATTTGGACAAGTGATAATCTCTGAAGCAGATGTTCGCCCAACCCGCTTCGGACCCCAAGAGTAGCAAATTCGCCACCAACATCACCTTCAGATCCTCCGGATGATTTTGTTCATCCACGAGTCCCCCCTCGTGATCGACGGCAGGTACCACATCGCACGACGGTATAGAGACTCGGTCATCGTATATCAACAGTATAGTGACTATAATCACAGGCAAGACTCGTCTCAAAGGTACAAACATGTGTCGTGGGCAAGAGAAGGTCACGGAAGGGGTTCGACTTTTATGGTAGTCGTGCGATTGCAGAGACGTGAGAGGTAAACCCTAGGATGTTGATGCTTTACCGCCATTTTTTGACTTTCTTTTCCTTTTTTCTTTTTTTGCGGTAATTTCCATTTTTTGGGAAAAAAATTCAATTTAACAAATAAATAAAATAAACGAATTCTATTCAATATTTATTATGTGGAATTAATAAGATTGAGTTGTTTTATTTATTTATTATTAATTAATGACACCAAGTAATAATAATTTATATAATGATTACATTAAATATTTTCTCTATTTTTTTGAACGGAACATATATAAAAAAAACACATACAACAGTTCATACGACAAAACTCAACACACACACATAAAAAGGGACCCACAAACCAATTCTTCTTAAAAGAAGAATTGGTTGTGAGCCACTTAAACTCATAGAACTAGTAAAGAGCAATCGATGTGGTATTGAAACATAATTTTTTTGAATAGAACATACACAGAAGAAATACACACAACAATCCACACGACAAAGCTCAACACACACATTATTTTTTTGATTTCACTCCCTTGGTTTTATCGAAAGGAAGGACCGAATGAAAATTCAGGAGTATGTAAAAGGAATAATAAATTAGGGTTGATGACTTTGCACTTTAATTCAATTTTTAAAATTTTAATTTACATCTTAAAATTTTAAGATTGTCACGTTCTTAAATCTTAATCATATAAAAAGCAATAATATTAAAAATTCACATATAATCCATTTAAAACTAAGTAATATATATATATATAATTTCACACGAAAAAATACAAACTGACAATAACAAAAATTGGCAAACGAAGCAGCGAACATTTATTTTCTGAGTCATATTACTATTTTTTATATTACTGAGAGTAAATTTCACCACCCTAATAATTAACATTATTCACCAAATTCAAAATTCAATTGGCACATTCATCATAGAATATATAATTATAATGACGATGATGATAATGATAATAATAATAATAGATATGCTACACCATTTGATGGAAAATATAGAAAAAAGTTTTGGTAGAAAATTTTGATAACTGTAATACTAATAAGTCTTTAGTCCAACGATACTTTTTGTCTTGTAAAAGTTTTGTCTTCTTGAAGTCAAGGGTTCAACCTCCTTCCTTTTTCCCCTCCTAAAAAAAAATCCTAACTCTAATAACATAATGGAGCGGTTTTTAATTAAGATTGCAACATCAAATTCTTTTTTTTTTTAAGGTGACAAACAACATATTCATCTAATTAATGTTTGTGATATGTGTCTCGTGGTGAGCGATCACTAGTGTTGTTGCAGTTGAGATAGTTGTAGGTTGGCACAGGTGTTAGAGCGTAGCAACAGGCAACACCTATGATAGTCCAACTTGTTCGAGTACTATATTATAAATACCTGTATTATTTGTCAATTCTAAGACATTTTTGACTATTTGGTCCGACATAGGTACCCTGATTGGTGAGACAATTTACCTTGTCCACTTACCATTTATTCAACTGCTTGGTCCTTTTATTAACGAGCAGTTTGAGTTTTTTTTATTCCATCCTTTTATCGTATTCATCACTTAGAATATTTTTATCATAGACACATATCTCAATCTTTTTTAACTCCACAACTATAATAAGAACTCTATCATTTTTCATGACAGTCCCATATCTGTGCAGCTTACTCTCTCAAGCTTCCCATGCTGAAGTAGTAGCATATACACCACTTGGAGTTGGTGAGGCTAATCATTTTTTTTGCTCGTAAAAAAAAGATGGGACAAAAGAGACATTCAAAGCCTACTTGATAAGTCTTTACTAATGAGATCACGAGGCTTTTGATTCAAGGGCAGAGCCAGAATTTTTTTTTAGGATGGGTACACTAACATGTTTTAATTTTTTTTAATAGACCGTAAAAGTTCATAAATTTATATTTATTAAAATTATATTTAATACTTTTTAACACATAGAAAATTAAAAATCGATAAACTCAAAAACAAAAAAATAATAATTAAAACTTCTTATTGAAAATGTGACTAATTATTATTACTTACAATTAACCCTGATATGTTTTTATTATTTAAAAGTGTTAAAAATTAATTTTATCAATAATATTTCTTTTATATATAAAATTGCGGTAACAATTTTCTATTTATAATCCTACAGTTTACTACATAACAACACATATTTTTATATAATAACAAAATAACACTACAATTTTAAAAAATTATAAAATAACATCAATATGTTCAAAACATATTCGGACATATCTAAAACATGTCTAAAAATTAACAATTACTCATTCCGTTCCTAAATATCTGTCGTTTTATGAAACCAAGGCATAATAAATATTTTTTTTCCAAATTTACCATTATCTTTATTTTTCAATAAGTGTTTAATAGATTAAGTGTAGACTAAATGTCTTTCATATTCCGTTCTTTCCCAATGTATTGAATAAAGATATTTTAGTCTTGTGTAATTATTTTTTACTCATATTAGAGCTATTTAATAACTTCATTAATCCCTGTGCAAAAACCTTAAACGACAGATATTTAGAAACAGAGGTAATATATTAGTTGTACCTAATTTGAGATTTAATTGATGGAGACTCAATGATTTGTGACCATGAATAGATATTAAAGTTTATTAAATATTAAGACTCACTATTATACATAATATAGCAATGTATTAGATCTTAAAATTAAGTTTTAATAACATTGTTCAAAAAGTTAACAATCGTTTTAGTAGGATCTATTTAAATCAATATCACCAAAACATAATATTAGGGGGACACAATTAAATATGTCTAAATTTTATTTCAAAAAATACATACTTAATATGAAGTAAAAAAAATTGAGGGCATGTGCCCACCCTAGCCTAAGGGTTGCCTCACCCTTGTGTTGATCACACCTATTACTCCTCTTAGGAACAAATCTAATTAAGTTTGCATAGTGATTGTAGGAGACAGAAAGTGAGATTACCTCTCACTGAAATATGATTTGATATTTATAGTAAAGAATGTTTTTGAACTTGTTCTCCCAGCCTTTTTTTTTTGTAAAACGAGCAAATTGTTAAAAATCGAAGTGTTTTTATTGAAAGCACTCTAATACTCAAGTTAGTAATAAAATTGATTGAATTGTTAACAGACAAAAAGAGTTCAGCTAAGAGTGTCAATCATGTCAAGTTAAACAATCATGTCAAGTTAAACAATTGCGCATCGAGTTAACACATACAACCCTATACACAACACATTTAATAAACAAATAAAAATTTTCAACACAAACACAAACTATTTAATAAATAAATAACACAACAACTCATTTAACTCATTTTAAAAATAAAAAATATATATTTTTTTAACAAATTTTTCCCCTTCATTTTTTTTCCTTTTTTTCCTTCAAACTGTACTTTCCTCAATTTAAAAAACTTCAGCCCAAAATCTATGTTATAAGCCACATCACACATATTGACTATTGTCTACGTTTTAAGCCACACCACACAAATCAACTTAGAAGGTGAGGCCACTGCCTGTTTTATAGGCCAATAAAGTCCATTTTCCACTCCCCTGTGTCGATGTGGGATGCAAAGAAAAGGTACTCAATGCCTCAAAGGCCATTCACTACCTTAAAAGTCCCCTCTTCCTTACTTTTTTTTTTTTAAAAAAAAATATTTTTCTTTACTTTTTTTCTTTATTTATTCATTATTTATATATATATATATATAAATAATAATTATTTATTTATTATTATATTAAATTTATTTAAATGGGTAAACAGATTGACAGTTCTCACCCAAATACGACTCATTTATTAAACGTGTTACACGGGTCAACCCGTTTACCACCCAAACCCATTAAGGTCTCACTCAAACCCGTTTAATTTGTATCGATTCATGTCAGTTAATCGTGTCGTGTCGGATTTTGACAGGCCTAAGTTTAGCGTACCTTTCTCCTTAACTCCTTATGCTCTTTATAGATCTTTGTTCAGTTAGGGTTTTCATAGTTTCCGATTCAAGGTAGCACACCTTCCTTCAATTAGGTGACTTCGTTTGGAAAGTTGCTAAAATCTCTCTAACAATTCTCCTTGTCTGGCCTATAATTAAGCTCATTAGCTTATCTTGGATGCTTGAGTTATAGGCAAATCTTTTGCTCTTCGTTTGACTAGTTGAACCAACTCGATCGCAATGAAAATAGACTTTTTTCTTTTCTCAACAAACTCATCGAACAGCTCAATTTTGGTCTATTGACTGAGTGACTGATGTCTCCACCACGTGCCTTGTCTCAATCACTCATGTAAACTCATTTAATGTCATAACACATGTTACAAATGGAGTCACCTCTTCAGCGATTTACTACTAAATCCTAATATAATCTCTAAAATTTGAACCTTTAATTTTAAGGTAAAAACATCGGCCGGTGTCAATTCGACCACCCCCATTCAGTGGTGGTGAGACTAATCATTTAATAATATGTTTCGCATTCTCAAGTATATAAGCCAGTGCGAGCCCGAGGATAATCCATGAACATCACAGGCGTGTAAACAAAGCTCCAATAATTCATGGTCAAATGGTTGACTAAGTCCAACACTGTTTTCTATTCCTTACATTTATTTTCTCTTTTAATTAATAAAATTATAGAAAAATGGCAAATCGAATCCAACCTTACAGTTGAGCATGAAAAATCAGACAGGTGAGCACAGGGTGGCCAAAAAATTCTGAAACATCCCTTTCTCAGCTTGTCTTGACCTTCTTTTAAGCGAGAGTTTGGTAATTTTTTACACCAGCAGATAAAAAATTAACATGGTATTAATAAATTTATATTTATGCTGATAAACGGATAGATTTATTAGATTTGTCAAATAAATTAGTTAATAAAAACCCAACTAGACACGATACAAACCCAAAAAACACGACTTAATGAAGACCCAACAAAAACTCAACCTTAACACGACCCATCGACAAATATAGGTGAATCTCAATT